AGTTATGTTGGTGGCTAATGAAGCTACTCTGCAGAATCTGTTAGTTCAATCTCTAACGTTCTGCTCTCTCTGCTTTTTCTCATAGTAGCTTCATCTGGTCTGTTCCTGTTTGGCTGTGACTCCATCCTGGAGAGAAATATCAGCTGTGCTGCTGCCATCAACACATTTGTTTATAGATGTTGGAGATCGGCCTGTTTTTCAATGTAGTCCTGAAAACGAATAGAAAACTTTGTGCTATTTTAACCCTTTGCAAAAAGTAGTATACTTGAAGTAAATTCTATTAAGAATACTTAAGTATAAGTATAAGTTTAGAAAGTATACCGAACAATGTACTTTTAGTGTACTTGAAGTATTACTAAAGTAATACTTCTACGAACTAATTGGGACATTTTTAAGTTTACTGAAGTATACTTAAAGTATACTTTAGTAAACAAAAAGGAAACAATAGTATAGTCAAGTGCACTTGTCTATACTATTGTTATAGTTTAGAATAGGTAAACTCTAAATGCACTGCCTGATTTTAAGTATAAAATTAGTGCACTTTTAGTATACTTGAATAAACTAGTTTTTGCTTAGGGAAACTGATGTATTTTCGAGTTAAACAGTCAGTACGGCACAGTAAAATAATCTAACTGCAGCAACTCATGCTAAGTGAACTACTCTGCTGTGAAATCCAAAACCCATGTAAGGTAAATAGAAAAAACATGATAAAAAATTTGCTGTTCGTACTAGCTCTTGTATATCTCGACAGCCTCCATTAGCTACTGACCTATGCCAATGTGAGTGAAGCTGAATTAGTTATGTGTGTACATTTCTTGCTGCACATGAAAAAAAACAGGGGTTAGAGTGGCTGAAAAGGAGTTTAGGCAATAGATGAATAAATGGAAATTATTTTTTGTTGATAAAATACTACAGGAATTTATTGGATTAGAAAATATCCTTCATTTTTTTTATATCAACATCTGAAAACATTTTTATCACTTATTATACGTAAACATGTCTAGTAACATCTCAATAAATAATATCAGGACTTCCAAAAGAATTTTTCCAACCTTTGTATTTTGTGCAGCACATCAACAACATCAGACCTAAACAAAGAAAAAAACTTTGATTAAATTAAACCATTCATATTAAAAAAACATGAACATATCATTGTAAAAATGTTCTAAGGGTCACCTTGCAACTTTAGATAGCCAAACAAACTTATAGAGTTTTGAATGCAAATGCCTATGTAGTTATTTCCCAAAAGGCACATGTTTCACACCACAGCAACTTTGTTTTGTTGTTTTTAAAGACATTAATGTGTTGCAGATGATGGCATACTAACTACATATAGCTACAAATCAGAAAAAAAACCCAATTAGGTTTGACCTTCTTTGAAACAGGAAAAAAAATCAAACTAGTTAAAATATTTTTAGGACAATTTTCAACCTTTTTTTTGGTTTTTACAGTGTCCTGTCTGGCAATGTGGCAATAAGAATAATCTTGATGCCAAAAAGAGCCCAACAGATTTTGCTTTCACAAGTGGAGCAGTACGGCTATCGCCATAGTGCTCCGCTTGTTTTATGCATATAAATTGCTTTATTATAATTCATGCAGGGAGTATTACAGATTATATGGACACTGCAATGTAAGTAGAACAGGAAAGGAAAAACAGAAAAAAAGATGAAAAGATGAAAGAAGGTGGAGATAAAGGGGAGATAATGATAAAACATTTTCAATCTGCCTTATCACCTGCAAAGAGATTTTAAAAGAACAGAACAACCAACGGATATAGAATAACCCCCAGATTCTACATACTCCATCAGTGGTCCGCTCACGTATGTCATGTGGATCACTTGTCTGTCATATTAATCAATGAGAGCTGTTTCACATCCACCGCTACTCCTCTGCACCTCTCCGTCCTCATATGGCTTCTGCTTCCTTCATCGTCAAAATATGGAGCAGTGCTATTTTTTATTCAGCTCTGGTCCGGCCAGGTCAAGATCCGCTATTTCAATCTCACCAAACAGGAATAAGAACAGCGGATGATCCGGTTTGTCAAATTAAAATATATTAACGCTAGATTGATAACTACAATTAGAGCATAATAGTTATATATTCCCAAAAACTTACAGCGTTTAATTAAAAGATTGGATGCAAACTATTGGTTCTTCAACAGATTAGGAAGCAGATTTCTCATCTCCATCAAATTATTTATTTTATACCAAGAGGCTTAAAAGTTTAATCAAATCCATTCAAACCTATCTCACAACTTCAAAAGAAACTTCTTATTGCAGGCATGTGTTAGAGTGATAACTATCCTGTGTTTCAACCAGAAGGGTCATAAACTTTTATGACCTCC